CACCCAAAAAAACGAAAATTGGGTCTCGATCTACCACATTTTTATTAAGAAATGATCAGAATTTGGGGGAAAAGTGACTAAATTTGGAAAACCCAGAAAGAATTAGAGAGGAAACAGAATTGAATCTATGAGAATTGAGAAGATCAAACGCTAATCTGATTTAGATTAGGGTTTGAGGAAAAAGGGAAGGTGAAATCGGATCAGATCTTGAGAAAGAGAGAGTATAAGGGAAGCGTTATTGTGTGGTTCCTTTGTTAAAGAAGTGGTCGATGATGATGATAATGAAAATCCGGCGATTCGGAAGAGAGCAGAAAAAATCGGCGAAAATGGAAAGTGAATGACGAAAATTAAAAAAGACAAAAAAAAATCGGGAAAAAAAACAGGACACAGCTCGTTTGGTTCGTTGCTTCACCGTTCTTTTTGGTCAGGAAGGACGCTTCGAAACGCTGTCGTTTTTGACGTTAAGTACTGTAGAAAGCAGATACTAATCCTGTACGATGAGATTTATTTCGACACAAAAACGAAGACAAGTGAAGTGTATATGCCTTTTTGTCGAAGTCTGGTTTTAAAGTGTAGAGATCGGTTACAGAATTTAAACGGTTAATGTCACAAATAATGAAATAAAATTAGAGTTAAAGTGATATGTAATGAGCATTTAATGTTACAAATGATTTTAATTGGCTAACGTTACAAATTATGGAATAAGATTAGGCTTTTTTTTTTGTGGTCGAAAGAATAAGATTAGGCTTAAAATAAGATATTAATCAATCCATTTGTAACTGTTATAAATTATATAACAAAGTCAAATTTTTTATGTGTTTTATCTATAAACGAAAGAGAGAGAGAAGTGTTCACCTTATCTTAATTCTTGTAATACACAAGTGCCTTTATATAGGCAGTTAAAGTCTATGACTAACCAAAGTCGGTTTAAGTAAGTCGGCTTAAGTAACTTAGCTACAAAATAATTTATTTAAATATTACTATTATAGATAATCATTATCCATAATACTCCTCCTTGATTATCTATCAGTGTAC